AAAAAAAAATACATCATAGTAAAATTAATACCTTCTGAGCTCATCGAAGCTAAAAATTGGGGTGAATTTCCGAGTTGCTACCACCTACATAATATACTACTAACTAATGATATAAATATTATAAATAAATTTACCAATTTTAAATATTTATTTATACATACAATATTAATTACCTGCCACAGCGGGATCGTTTCTTGTTCATTAAAAATAAGTCTTACACATTTAAAATTTGTAAAATAGCTCCATCCAATAATTTCTTTTAGATCATATGCTTACTTCTAATGATACTCCTTTTTAAAGAATATTTCATAATAAGAATTTCTAAAATCCTACATAATTTTAATAAATCTCACTTAGATTAATAACAAAGGACCAACACATTTTCACCATTAAAATTAATTATATTTTGAATTGTAGAGATTTCTGGCCTACCCAGGATCATCAGGCTACACTTCTGGCAAGGAAAATATAAACGTATACATAGTTCAAACATTAAAAGAAAAAATTACAATAACCACACTATTAAAAAAAACGATTATTTTATTTTTATTGTAAAATTAACAATAGATTTCAGTAAACATATAAATACATTTGGAGTTAACTTATTTTGATAAATTACACGTTTTAAAAATATTTTATGATCGCGAAATTTACACTTACAAATTTTGATGGATAAGTTTGTACTTACGGATTAATTTTCAAGCGGTATTTTTCATTATTGAATCACCAATTTGTTTAGTTAGATATTGTCAAATTACACTTATGATCTAGACCTAGACTTGGGAGACCTAGATTTAGATCTTGATTTATAGCGTCTAGAGTTGTTTTTGTGAGATTTAGAACGAGATCTATGTGATTTTTTATGACTCTTAGAGCTTTTTGATTTTTTTTTATGTTTGTGTTTTGGACTTTTAGATTTTTTTTTTGATTTTTCTAAATTATATTTATCTTTAGATACATCATGTCTATTATTTTTTCCAATTGATCTACTTCTTGACTTCCTAAGTTGGGATGATGTGTGATTATCTGCTTTATCCTTTGAATGAAATCTAGAAGAAGAAGTAGAAGTAATAGTATAACTTTTTCTTTGTATATATTTAAAAAAAGTTGATTCTTCTTTTTCAATATTCATCCAACGTGTATAAGGATTCCCAGAAAAATGACGACTTCCTTCAAATTTATAGTAAACACGATTATTGTTAACTAGTTTGACATTAGTACTCTGAACATTTTCATGAACATTTTTTTGATCATCAGAATTAGTAGTCAAACTATTTATTTGCCCTTCTATGACTTCTCTCAAAACCTAGACAAATTTTAAATAAAAATTAGAAATTAAATAATTATATTATAGTCAATTCATTAACAGTTTTAAGGTTCAAGTCAAACGGGAAAATATCTCATTATTAAAAGCTGTAAATATTGCACACTAACTTTAATATTAATATCAATATGATTATGAAGTTTTATAAGTAATCAAATTACGGATATTATTTAAAAAATTATTTTTTAAGTTAAAGTTAACGTGTGTATGTCGTGTGGCAGATTGTAGAAGCGAGTTCCTTCAAGAACAAATGTTTTTTCTTTTATTATTACTCTTAAGATCCTATTGTGTTAAACCTAATTTTTTCTATTCATTAATTATAACTCATCAAATATCTTTCATTACTGTTATTATTTATTATAGAACAATTTGCGGAAATAGTGAAACAAGATATAAGGGTATAAAATAAAATATATTTGTTTTATTTAATAATAAATGTTTGTAAATAATTTGGTAAATTATAGGAAGTATGAAAAATAATCACTTTTCTTATTTATAGCGTTAATAATAAAAACGTTAGCACAGTGGAGTCGCGGCACAGTGTGAGCGTGGCATAGTTGGATTAGACTAGTATAGACGATATCTGACAGTGATTAAAATCACTATCACAAGAAACGCTTCGATGCAAATTTGTAGATAGTGTTTAATTTTAAAAAATTGGTGGATTAATGAAAAGCAAAATTCTAACTCAAAAAGAATTACAGAAAAATTGCAAAAAAATCATTACCACAGGGATTGATTTTTACTGAATAGGCAAACGTTCGTCGCATTCGTTTTTTGATAAAATTAGCATTTTAAGCTATTTAAAATTTAAAATTAATTTTTGCGACTTAAAGAAAAAAAAAATTGAAATAAGTTTAACATTATATTCTATGTCAAATAGTTATATATAATATTCATGAAAATCAGTGTACCCCCTTATAAGATATTTTAAAATAAATTAAAATACAATACCAAGAATTTTAACATAAAAATAGCATGTTTTGTATTACGGCAACCATTTGTACATAGAAGATAAGTCGTCGGGATAAATTTTATTTTTAACTTATAGTACATAACAATCTTTATTGTATGTTTGAAGCCCAAAGTATTTCCGGAACATTTTGAAGACTTAAGTTGAAAAAGTTAAATTTTTGTGCAATAGTTGCTATTTTGATTCAGACCTGTGGGCAGGTAAAGGGTTAGATTTTCAAAAAATTTATATCAAATGAAAGAAAAATATCTAATGTTTCAATATAAAAAAAATTATTTTAAATTGTTTTTTCAACATTTTTCAAAAAGTTATGGCAATTTTTAGAAAAAAAAAAATGAAAGTATGTCGAAATTTACCTATTTTAAAAATCTTAATATTTTGGGGGATTTTCACTATTTACGGGTAACGAGGGCAAAATTTTCAATTTTTGAGGGTAATGTCTTCTACTAGATATGATTTGTGGTCTTTTGACGTATTGTTGAGAAAAATTAGTCCAGTGAGAGCTGAGAAAAAGTAGTGACAGACACACCAAAAAAAAAATACATTATGATAAAATTAATACCTTCTCAGCTACATCGAAGCTAAAATGATATATTATGGTAATCCTCAACATATTCAAAAAAAAATGTATGAATTTTATCAAAAAGCTAGTATAATCAAATATTATGCTAAATTAATCAAAGATTGATTTTTCTATGAGTGGACTGACCACAAGGCTATAGACTGTTGTCTATAGCCTGTTCCCCGGTTTGTAAAATTTTTTTTCACTTTTTTCGGTGATTATTTCTTTTCATAAAGCAAAACAAATTTTTTTTTTAAATAAACTAGAACACTCCAATTATTGTGGTCCTGGACCATCCAGTCTGCATCCAAGATTCTTCAATAAATTAATTACTGTTTTTTGATATTTTATTTTTAAAAAATGTTTTATCATAAAATCATCATATTTAAAGAGGGGAGAAATTAAATTAGATCCCTATTTTTGTGCAAATAGCGCCTGGTTTGTATTCGACTAAAAAATTAAAAGTTCAGTTCGAGTTTGGTTCACCTGAAAAATGCGTACTTGTAATATTAGAAACAATAATTTTTATTACCTCAATATATGATTTACGATCAGTGTGAACTCTTTTTCCTCGATAAGCTATTCTTCGCCGTTTGGCGTCCCTTTGTTCTTGTAATAATTCAAGTTCAGACTTCAATTCTTCATTGTTTGCCTTGATAAATTTATCAGATCTAATGAAAAAAATTGGATTTAAGGACCTTACCTAACAGAAAGGCTAACACATAAATAGGCCTGCTTTAAAATGTTCTACATAATTACACCGAATAATTATTAAGTTTATTAAAGTATACTTTTTCAACTCCTAAATATCCAATAACTTATATATTATTATATTTAATATTATATTTTATTGTTTTAAAAAGAATGAGTAGTAATAGACTAAAAAAATATCTACGTATCATTGTTTCAAGGTACAGAGATAGATAATTCCAAAATTTTTTTCTTATAAATTTCTTTTGTTTTAATTTGTATTAATTTTAATTAATAATTCTTTGTGCAATGTTAAAAGTTGGAAGAGAATGCTTTAGTTCTAGAAAGTGTATACATTTTTACTTCATACGATTTGTATCCCAGAAATTATAAAATAAAATTAATATTGATTATGACATCAGAAATATCTATCATTTACCAAACAATTTTTAAAAAAATTTGCAGCCCCTATTATTTTGTACAAATATTATGTACTGCAAATAATATTAATAATTAATTAAGTAAATAATATCTTTGAATTGATGGACACAGAGAAAATTTTATAAGATTGGTATATTTGTAATATATTTGAACACATTTATTGAAACTGATTGATTTTTCATAGTTTAGCACAACATATTCAAAAAAGAAAAACATAAGTCTTTAATAAGTATACTAATTATGTTCATCTTTTGTATTTTTCATTGAGGTTATTATAGTAAATTTAACAGTGCTAATAAAAACTATGTTTAATATATAAAAGAATAATAATGGTATTTTTATCAACAAATGATATTAAAATGACACAATTATTTCAGAAACAACACAAGTCACTCATTTTTCAAAATGTTATAATAATTAATGCAATTACGACTTTTGTGTAAAAGTTAAATTATAATCATCCCAAAAAATACATTTTAAGTTGTACAGTTTTATTTTATAAATATTAAAAATATTTAATGAAAATTCATAGAAATAATTCATACTAGTGTGATGGTGTCACGTTACCATTATTGTAAAAAATATAGTTTAAAAAAACTAAAAAACACGCTTTTAAAGCACATCGAACTAAAAAGTTAAAAATAATTTTTAAAATAAATATAGTTTAAAAAACTAAAAAAACACGCTTTTAAAGCACATCGAACTAAAAAGTTAAAAATAATTTTTAAAATAATTATGAACAAAAAATACTAGTATTATTGTGATAAAAGCGT